ATAGTTTTACAAGGTTACATTACAACAATTTAAAGTAATACAAGTAATAGAATAAATACAGCGTGGTACTAAGCTATCTTCATCAACAGCTCCGGGGATGTACCTGTCTAATGCTAACCTGAGAATACAAGTTATTTGAAAAGCGAGTATCAGCATTTTTACAATGCTGGTGAGTTCATAAGCATTTAGTGACATTTCATTCAAATAACTTAAGAAAGTAGTAGTTTAAAAGATTTCAGTGTACTAGAGTCCTTTCCAGAAAATCCTATATTTTCTTTAATAAAAGCAGCCTTCTACCAAGACTGGTCAGTGATGTAGAGTAAAAAGTAGTTTTCCCTAAATTGCTATCATTATCAAAATACTGAATTTGATTATTGAGGAAAGCAACGACATCAGGGAATATCATATGCCTCAGCAGTGAGGACTGCTGACTAAGGCAAAGAACCATAGACTCCAGGAAAGTATCAAACATACGACACGCCTGGTTCAGTCTAACAAGTGGAGACACAGACCCCAGAAGGTACCAAATGAAAAGTACATCTCGCAAGGTCAAAACAGTGAAGACAGACCGCAGACGATACCAAATGAAGGGTACATCTCGCAAGGTCAAAACAGTGAAGACAGACCGCAGACGATACCAAATGAAGGGTACATCTCGCAAGGTCAAAACAGTGAAGACAGACCGCAGACGATACCAAATGAAGGGTACATCTCGCAAGGTCAAAACAGTGAAGACAGACCGCAGACGATACCAAATGAAGGGTACATCTCGCAAGGTCAAAACAGTGAAGACAGACCGCAGACGATACCAAATGAAGGGTACATCTCGCAAGGTCAAAACAGTGACTACAGACCGCAGACAGTATCACATGAAAGACACGTCTAGCAAGGTCAAACAGTGTGACTCTGAAAAAGGTGACATCAGCATACAGTGTAAATTGCTGACGAAATACCGTTACCTTAAAGCCATGAATTATAAGGCAACCCAGGATACTCGTAACCATACTGACTAGAGTACTAGACGCCCTACAAGCATCTATATAATGTGACATTTGTCACCCCTTGGCTTGGTAGGCCGTGGACTGTAGCTAGCAGTCAGGGTGCGGGGTTGTCAATCCCGTATAGGCCTATACACACAATGTCCGCTCTCCCTACAGGAGACTCTGGTTACCAACTAGACGACGGAGAAGGCCGCGTCCCGAAGATGCATCCCAAATAGAGGATAGTGTGTTACTAGGAGGAGTGGGTTTCTTATGTAAGTGTAGACTAGAGGTATAGACTCTTAACTGAATTGACTGAAGAAAACTCGTATGTCTATGCTCGTATACATAATATATAACTAATGAATCGAACGACCTTCAGATGGACATCCGATCCCACCAGACCACATCTCAACGAAGAAAAGGAAATAGGGCGGACAAGCCTTCCTAAGTCCTTCAATCATTATTTATATGCATCTATACAAGCATAAACATACATCTAACTACGCTTGAGTGTGTATCATACAGTGAAGTATAAGTGTACAGTGGAACATCTGAGTCGTGAAGTATAAGTGTACAGTGGAACATCTGAGTCGTGAAGTATAAGAGTACAGTGGAACATCTGAGTCGTGAAGTATAAGAGTACAGTGGAACATCCGAGTCGTGAAGTATACGTGTACAGTGTGGGATAATCGAACCATGAAGTATAAGCGTACCAAGTATAAGTGTATCACGAAGCGAGACGACAATAAGTGATGTAAGAACGTCTATCAAGTATAAGTGGAGTAAAGTCGTTATCCAGTATAAGTGAAGGAGAAATCGTATCACTAAGTAAGAGCGTGAATAAGTATAAGCGTCATCAAGTATAAGCGACTATAGGTATAAGTGAAAGTGTTACCGAGTCAGAGTATAAAATAAGTATAAGTGAAGCAGCAGTGTTTAACAAGTAAAAGTATACGTCAAAAAGGGAAATCTTTAATGAAAAGCCTTTATGTACAGAGAAAATCACAAATTGTATTCCTTTGTAAAATACGTTTAAAACCTTAGAGGATCTTTCATAAACCAATTTAGGATGAATTTGAATAAATCAGTATAAGTAAAAGTTATGAAACAGGTAAAAGTCATTTTAGTGTCCCACTCGGTAAAACAGTGTAAAAGTGGTAAAATCTTGTGCATGCGGGTTATCAATCATATGCGATTGACATGATAACTGGCATGTTTAACTTGTATTCCCCCCTATAAAACATTTAAAAGCATTTAAAAGGTTCATTCAGGGGTATGAACTCACCTGGTGTAAGTAGGTCCGACGAGAGTGCCGATTGGGCGTTCGGGGTCACGCAAGGACTTGAACACACACAAGGACCTATTTTAACATATGATAACATATGTTCACATACAATTAGCATATAATATACTAATTAAACAATTATACACACTCAAAGGAGTGGAAAAACACTTTTGGTTGAGTGTTTGGGGTCCCGGGTAGCGTTTACGGGTGCTAAGGGTCTCTTATCAGTTGTGGGACTTTGCTATACTCACATATCAAGTGTGTAAATGGATTTAAAACACCAACATGGACCAAACAAGGAGTTTATGGCCCAACCTAAGGGAGTTTACGGCCGTAAACTCCCAAGGTTCTATTCTTGGGTGTTTGATGCTTCTAGCTTGTTCATTGAATTATTCTAAGCATTTTTCCTAAAAGGTATGTGTGGGTTTGAGGCCTCTAAGGGTACTAAACAAGAGTTTACGACCTAGGAACTCTCCCAAGGGAGTTTACGGCCGTAAACTCTCAACCTTTGAGTTTAGTGAAGTTTTAAGCCCCTATTGCCTTCCTAGAATTTTCTTATGAAGTTTGATGCTATTTTGGGTGATTAAAACCAACATTTGAGGGGGTTTTGGGGAGTTTACGGCCTAGACACTTGCTTGGGCCGAAACTCCAAATCAAGCCTCATTTCATTGTGTTTAAGTCCTTAAATCCTTCCTAACATTTTATAGAAATAGTCTAAGGCCATTTGGGGGACAAAAACCAACATTTTGGGCATGTTTGGGGAGTTTACGGCCTAAGCATGTGCTTGGGCCGTAAACTCATTTTTATCCTTCATTTTGATGTGTTTTAGTGATCTAAACCCAAAATACCAAGTCCCTAAATTATGTATGAAGCCTAAGGGTGGTTTGGGAGTGTTTTTGGGGCCTTTTAACATGATTTTGAGGTGTTTACGGCCTAAGCTTGTGCTTGGGCCGTAAACTCTCTTTTGTCCTCTAAATCATTGTGTTTTGATGTTTAAACACTCCTAGGCAATCCCCTTAATTTATTTCCAAGCCTATAGGGACAAGTTTGGGTCATTTTGGCCTCATTTTGGGTGTTTACGGCCTAAGGAGGTTCTTAGGCCGTAAACTCCTTTTTCATTGCTTCTAAGTCCGATTTTTGGGCTATAAACATAAATCACTATGTTTAGAATAAGTTAGGGTAAGCGGACTTACAATTTGGAAGCGTTTGGTTGCGGATTTGGGGCGAAAACGGGTCTAGAGAGAGAGTATAGAGAGAGAGTGTAAAAAGTCTCCAATAGACTCCACTCACCCTTATATAGGGTTTTGAGTCGGGGCACAGTGAAATTCTACCCGATACTGCCGTTAAACAGGACTTTAGGTCGCACCCGATTTAGTGGTCGTAATAATAAAACTTGACATTTTCCAAATGAATGAAAATGTGTGTCCTGTGTTTTATTTCCTTTTTCACGACTTAACAACATGTAAACATACACAATTGAAATGTTTATTAAATTTGACGGCTTCTTATTAACGGAACTTTTGAACAGTGGAAAATTCCGTTAACGGTAACGGAGAAATGTAACGGGACAACTTGGGTTGTCACAAAATATATGATTTTAATTTTAAAAATTGAAACAAACAAAAAATTGACAAGTGGATAATATTTATTTCAAAAATACCACAAAATGACAAGTGTCAAAACTTATGAGAGATTGACATGTGGCAAAAAAACCTTCATTTATTAAGGAGGATTCATGCTTGCTCTTTGACTTATGGCACCCAATATTAAATCAAAATGAGTTAATTTAAATAAAATCAACAGTGGTTTGTGTTGAAGTCAAATCAAGACGGTATCTAGGGGTGCAAACGAGACAATCTACTCGGGATCGGATCGTTAAAAGCTCGACTTGAAATCGATTTTAAACGAGCCCGAGCCGAGCTCGAGCTTAATAGTAAGCTCGTTTATTAAACGAGTTCGAGCTCGAACCTATGTCTCTAAGCTCGATTAGGATCGCGAGCCTAAACGAACCTTTATTTAATATAATTTATTATTATTTTTATATATTAAAATAAAAACATATTTGAGGATTAGAGATTTAGGGTATTAGTAAACGAGCTTCTTAATGAGCTCAAGCCGAAATTAAGCTTAATTAGACACGTTAGACAAAAAACGAGCCGAATCGAGCTTGTATAATTATTTATGAGCTTGAGCCGAGATTAGTAAAAAAAAAAGCTCGAATCGGTTTGAGCTCGAGTTCGAGTCTCGTATAACTTAAACGAGTCCGGGCCGAGCCTGACCAGGCTTGGGCTCGGCTCGGCTCATTTATACTCGTAACGGTATCCCTTTGAAATATACAGCAAGTGTCGTGACTCCATTCTCTTTTCTTTTTCACTTTACTATTTAATATTTCTAATAGTTTCTTTTTCACCAAATTTGACTTTTAGATTTAATTTTATTAACAGATAAACTCTAACAGGTTTTTGTTACAATATCTAACTTTTTGTTTCATAGGGACCCCAATCGATTTTCATTTTGGCTCCGCCAGCTTACGTATGTCAAGATATATAATAGTATAAACACAAGATTTAAATAAGTTAGAAAGTATTTACTCATGAAAAACTCATTATTTAAGTTAATAACAATTTTTAGTTTTTGTTTATCTAAACACAAAAAACTACTTATTAGCGGTGTCAACCTGTAATAAGCTAAGCTAATAAGCAGCCAATTAAATAAACAATGCCAAACACACCCTAATAATAGTGGTAATAAACCTTATGATTTGGCCAAGGTGGATACATGGCGGCAATGGATTTTAGGCGATGCTGCTCAGCCATAGACCCAAGAACCTGTCCGAGAATGGTGAGGCCAAGTACATATAGCATGGTAGTTTTTGGCATCAGAACAACTTTAGCGAGGATGGAAATATATGGAAAGGCTACAAGAAGGACTGTAAGCCAAGGAGGTGAGAATTTGCCGTGTTCTCGACACATACCTAATGGGAAATTAATAGCCATGGTTATTGCCCCGATCAAGAGTATCTCTTGGAACTTGGGTTGACTCATTAGGTTTTGTGCAATGAGTGTTATCATTTTTGACACGCACTCGTATTCTATGTCCGATGCCTTGGACACTGCCACCCTCATGAGTATCTCTCGGAGAATTGGTTGATTTTTCAAGCTTGCTGCAATGACGGTTGTTGCAATCGTTGTCATAATTGTTGGCAAGCAATTATATTGATCATTGTTGGATGCTTTTGCCACAATTGGTTGCACCTTTCTATATGACCTTGTCATCCGACAATTCCTAGGCTTAATCCGGCAGTCTTCATTCTGTCAAATCATTTTAAAATTCCACGTTAGGTTATTATTATTATTATTATTATTATTATTATTATTATTATTATTATTATATTGAAAACTTATATTGTTACCTTGAGGGGAAAAGCTAACACCATACCTGATAAGAGTTTTGTTTGTGTAGCTTCTTACATAATGCATCGAAACCAAAGTTTGACCCCCTGAAACTCAAGAGACTAATAGTTGCTGCCTTTGCTGCCAAAGGATAATAAAAGTCTTCCGTTTCCCATGCCTGATGGACAACAATATCACATTAGTTCATTTCTATGAATTTGCCATATAACAATTAAATAGTGTCCAATTATCGTGTTTTCAGTATATATAAAACTTTTTAGAAGTTATGTGTTCAACATTTACGCATATATATTCAACATGTTATGGAATTTTGAAGTACATGTTTTACAATTTTATATTGTATCAAACTGTGAACTAACCCACCGGCAATATAGAATATACCTAACAATATGTATCTCACTAAATGTCATAGAATCGAGCTAAAGGAGAAAGCATAAATGATTTAATTAAGGAGTTTTAGCTATTTAACATTTGTCTTGGTTTTAATATTTAGTCATATTCGTTTACGTTGTAGACTTACGCAACAAGATTTTTATTAATTGTTACTCAAAACTTCCGCTACTTAAGCAATTAATAGCACTCACATGATCGGATTTTCAGGGTGTGACACGTACACTTAAAATATCATTCATGCAAGCTGTAACGATTTTGATTTTTTTTTTCTTTTCAAACCGATATTGGAGAGAAAAAGCATACATGTGGAAGAAATGAGTATAGCTGAGAGTAGACTAGATCTATTGGATGACTCTTATGGCTTTTTGGAAAAAATGGGAGCTACAGTCTCATAAATGCATTAAAATTAAAAGACGCTAAAGGATTAAACTGGCAGGACCCTTGTTCAACCTTCAGCTTTTGGAAAAGTTGCAATTGTCTCATATAACGTGGATCGAGATTATTAAGATCCATTTTAATGGAATTCTCGCCATATGTAGAACATACGTTTCCCATTTCCTGATGAAAAACAACATATAAAGATTTGCAACGATTTTGAGTTCTTTTTTATTTAATGCAAAAAAGGAACATGTATTTCAGTGACATACTAAATACTAATATTCGGTGTTTTTAGTTTGGATCAGTGTGCAGTGGAATTGGGGAATTGCTGCTTTCTTTGATTTCTATTTAATATTTGCTTGTTATTAAACTACTAGTAGTTTCTACTTTCTACGTAGTAATTGTTTATTTAACTTTTAAATGTTAAGTATAGGCCATCAGACAAGTAATCAAAAACGTGATCGCTCGTCTCCTCTCCTTAATTGCAAGCACCACACATCGTAGATGGAATGGTAATCCCGTGTTGGCAAAGTGCCACAGCTGAGGGAATTCTTCCTTGCTTATCTCTCCAAATAAATGAAAGAATCTTGAACGGAGTTGCTTTTTCCAGTCAAAAGGTCAATCATTTACCATGTGACTTGATAATTCAATTTGCTCCGGTAACAAACATACCCTAAAACGATTATCTGATGTAAACTCCGATTCCCATAAACCAATCATCGAGTTCTGCGATACGATTTCTTTGGGTTCAATGTTTATTTTTTTCAAAAACGTCCTGTTTTTAACTATATTTTTCCATACCCCATTATTGGATCTGTTAGCAAGGACGGACCAGTGCCTACTATCTAGTTTGTGGATACACCGGATTACATTCGCCCACAAGGGTGAGCTATCAGTTTCCAGTCGCCACATCCACTTACCTACTAGCGAGATGTTAAGAGATTTAATAGAGCCAACCCCTATACCACCAACACTCCTTGGAGAGATAAGCTTTTCCCACGCCACCCAACAAATGCTTTTTTTTTTGTCATACTCTTTACTCCAAGTAAACTTTCTATTAATTCTTTCCGATCACTTGGTTTGTGAAAGGTTTAGTTCAGTAAAAGGTATGCTACTTTTTGTGTCAAAATGGTCTGGGTGCTATAAGAAAAAAAAACTTGTTGTATATGATACTATGTGGAACGTACGGTGTATATGGGTTTGTAGAAATAAATGGGTTTTTGAGAACATTCCTATGAGACCAACAATTATAGTGTGGAATCTTTGTCTTTTCCATTGTTTGTAAATTTAACTTTTAAATAAATATGAAGTTTTCTTTATGGGAAGTGATTCGGGATAACTACTCCTATTACACTGAAGTTTTGAAAATGGGAAAGTGGTACGATTTTCTTTGATTCACCTTTTTTTTTTTTTTTAATTTCTTTTTGTGAACATGGCACTATATATACTAATTATCACTTTCTAACAATGAAATTATTTAATTCGATTAAATCATTTATACTTGAACAGTTTAGACGCTATCATCTGCTACCCATAATCGACAACTTTGGTGAATTGGTGTCAAGACACTTAATACTATCATTCCTTTAAATCTATCAGGCTTTTGTTTGTTTTTATCATTGATATATTGATATTGAGAAAAAAAAACATGTGAAAAAAAATGAGAGTTGCTATCATACCTGAGAAAAGTCCTTACGTATCTTCTCGAACGTCCCATTGAGTGCATCGGAATTCAAGATACTAATACTGACTGGTGCTAGTGCTTCTCGTGATATAGACCAGAGTGTGTCGAGCAACACCGACTCCTCCTTCACTTTTTTGGTAAATTGCAACAATCCTCCAACCCTAAAACCCATTTCAATATGGCTGTCGCCAAACATACAACCTTTTGTTCCCATCAAACCCTCCTAAGAGAAAAAATTATGAAATTAGTTTATTTGCATAGATAAATTTCGAAGGTTTCTTTTTATTTAAAGAATGCAAAAAGAATCGTTTTAATCTTTTTCCTATCAAGTGAACTTTTTATGGATATGTCAATAATTTTTCCTAAATATATTTTAAACATCACCAATACAAAACTTAATGGAAAAAACATCAAAGTGCAGGACCAAGTGTAATACTATTAGAATGTCTTTGTTTGTATAAATAGTCTTAATGGGGGATCTTCGGAGTTTTATGTTGATTGGGTGGAATGAGAGTACATGCATGTCTATTTTCAAAACATGGTACATATCAAAGGAGTCATTTTTATACATAAGAATCCACATCCTCTATTGTGTGGTTAGATGTTGCATCCTATTGTGCGGTTAGATATTGCATGCGCAACATCAATTATATATGTATTACATTTGCATATGTGATCATTTGGGTTGAGTGGAAAGTCTCGGATAAGGGAGTCTATGTTGTGGGATTGATCCACATATAGACATATGTAACATCCGAAAAATTTGGATATGATAGATCGTAATTGATTGAAAAATGATATTCTAAAAGAAATCAAGAAAATTACGGCCCACTTGGGAAAATTGATAGAAAAAACGAAATGCGAGAAACAACGTATTTGTCTATTATAATATCATACTTTCTTTCTTTTTCTATCACAACATTGCATATTCAATTTTTTTCTTAATAATGAATTATGGTTTGAAAAATCTACCCAATCGTAATTTCAATTCTAGGACATTATACTTTCAAATATCTATGGGTATAGACAGTGAAAATTGGATGGGTCTCACAATGTAGAATGTTATTACAAAAGACCCTAAACCCTAAACCCAATCATAATTTAATATACTCCTCAAACTCAGCACTATCGGTTATCAATTCACAAAAATAACTCACAGAAGAAACAAAAAAACAAAAGAAAGTGTATCACCATGCATATCTTACAATCACATAAAGGAAAATGTAACAAAACTTTATTACTGATGAAGAGCTAAAACTTTTTAGCATCAAAACCCATTGAATCAACCAGATCTTCAGATCCCCCAATCGAACCAATTTGTATCTCAAAACCAAAAACAGTATGTTATAAATTTCATAGTTTTCCATAGCAAATAGTGGACAATAGCTACAAGCTACCTATATGCTTAGACAATTAATATATATGTTCATTACCTTAAAGCCTTAAACTATCTTACCAATTTTAAATTAATAAATAAGCAAAAGCTAACGAAACATGATATATAATAGGTAAATTGCTTGATCATTTTAATATTAAAGTCGTGTTTAATGCATGTTCAGACAATTTGATGACACCTGAGAGACAGAAAGTCAAACACACAAAATCAAGAATCAAAACAATTTAAGAAAACATTACGAAGAATTGATCAATCATAAATTTAAACTTGTAGCACAAGAACATTAACAACTAACAAGAATAAACTTAAACCTGTGCTAGTTGCATTCAGACAAAACAAGAGTAAACTTATTTTTGATCAAATAAAGTATGCAAGACAGAAATCAAAAAGATGATTCATTCGATTAACTAATCTTTAACAACTAAAAAGAACTTAAAAATCAGAAAGAGTGAAAGATACATCAAAGAGAGAAAAAGACAATCAGAAAAATAAAGAAAAAACCTAAGAGTTTGAGTCAGCGATATCTCCAGAGGTGGAGTCGTGAGCGGTCAAAGACGAGGTCGTGAGGTTGAGGCACGTATCTTCTCTTTCAGCCAAGGCAGCGCTCAACCCTAATAACTCTATTTATGCCGACATAAAAATAGTAAAAATACAGAGGATTTCTAATATATGGAATCTTAATGGGATTATGATAAAAAAAAAAAAAAATATGCTCTTACCTTTCTTCCTATCTATCATCCTACCCAATTAAATGGTAACATGTGTAACATTTAATATTTATTTAATTAAATTTAAAGATATTTTAGAATAGTAATACCATAAATATCATTATTATTTAAATTGATAGTAGGATTTGTAGCAATAAAATGTAGTAGGATATTTAATTTCTTAAAAAAAAATTATTAGGACTAGCATTCCATATTAACTAACTTACCGTTTATTCTTTTCTATATTTACCTATTCACCTCTCAAAATTTTCCTCAATTCGCATATAAACTAGCACATCTTAGATTTTTAGTTCCTTCAAAAATTCTTTTATTACAATTAACATTCTATGATTTAAAACTAACCCTTATAATAATAACTAACTTTTATAAAATTTGAAAAAATAATCATTTTCTTCAATATAGGACATTACAGATAAGCACATATTAGGTGGTAGGTATAGTTTGGATTTTGGAATTGTATATTCCGAATTGATATAATCAATTCTAGAATACGGTAGTAAAAAAATATACTTCTAGAATTGACATTCCGGACATACATTCTAAACACATTCTGGATATATATTTCGGATACACAAAAACTAGGTTTTTCTTCCGTGTATAACATGTGTTATTCCATTTAAATAATCAGTTACGACCAAAATCCATAATTCTGTATTATAATTACTTGAAGATGAGTTACTCAAACCGTAATCACAAAGAAAACTTTACCAACTTGCCAATTTACATGCACAACCTTGGGTGGACGAAGTCTTATAATTACACAAACATCAAAATTGATTTATGGATCGTTTCCATTTTTTTTTTTTTGGATTTTGGGTGTGTGGTAAAATAATTTTGCTCCAAGTTTTAAATGTTTAGTTAAAATTTATAATCTTTTTATAACTTATTATTTTATTTTCCCAAACAAATGCAACTCCATGCATTCATAGGTTGTTTGTTGTCTATTATCTTTATAGGTAACGTCCCTATAAGAGGGGACTACCTACATGCAATATTCATAGCGGTTGCTATGGATGAAAACAACTAGATCCTACCAATGGCATTCTATCTTGTTGTGACAAATAATGCCGACTCTTGTCGTTGGTTCTTGATGAGGTTGAAAGAAGCTCTCATGGACGCTAAGGAAGTATTGTACATAACTAATATGAATGATTACATAACTTGTTCTTTAGGTTAGGTATTTCTTGATTCTTATCATGGGTATTGTTGTAAGAGTGTGGCATTGCATGTGTATACATGATTTGTTCAAAACAGAACATTTGAGCATTTGTTTTGGGGTACATGTAAATTATACACTATGTCTGATTTTCAAGAAACATTATGTTGGCTAACCCCTGTTGCATGCGAGGTGTTTGCCAACATCGGTCATGCAAAATGGGGCAAAAACCTATTTCCCTAACATCTACTGGAACGTACTCAACATTGATATTCCATAATTCATCCTAGTTTTATTGGTTAATTAACACAATGTGCCAATAATAACGCTTATTGAGCTAATCTATGAGTAAAGTCAACGGAAATATTCACACAGTTGTAACATCCCGAGTCCAGGAGTGCAAGTTCGGGGTTCAAAGTGTAAATTTAAAGGGCAACTCGGCGAGTCCATGGGTGGACTCGGCGAGTAGCGTCGCGACTCAGGTCGCGTGTTAAGTGGCCAACTCGGCGAGTCCAAAGCTGGACTCGGCGAGTACGCGCTGTACGAAGAAAACCCTAATTTCGGGGAATGAGCCCTATATAAAGGACATTATACCCTTTCCCCAGCCTCCTTACCTTCCCTTGAAGTCCAGAAAACCCTAGAAACGTGATTGTGAAGGATTTGAGTGCATTTGAGTCTTGGAGAAGAGATTTGGAGGAAGATCTTGGAGAGTTAAAAGGCTTGGAGCAAAGGGCTTTGCTTAGATTCGGATTTCCATTGCTGTTTGGGCTTCCTTTTGAGGTATTATCTCGTTTTTGGACTGCTATTCGCCTATTCATCTAGCTTCATCATTTTTGGGTTGTATGGAAAGTTTGACTTTGGTATTTAGAAAGGTTAGATCTGAGGTTGCTACCTCAGATCTGGAATGGAGAAGGACTAGAGTGCATTAAAGTCCCTGTTATGGAGTGTTTGGTGAAGCCATCTCGTCCCAAACCCTAGCCCTAGAGTGTAAAATGCCTAGATCTCTTTGGATTCACGTAAAGTTTGCCACTTTACGTGATGGAAGGGCTGTAGAAGGGTAGATCTACGTTTTGGATCGATTGCATGGCCTAGAAGGCTTCTGTATGGGTTAAGAACTAGTGTTACTCGGCGAGTCACAAGGGTGTACTCAGCGGGTTGCTTGAAGGCGGGCAGCAACTCGACGGGTTTGAAGAACAACTCGGCGAGTTGGTTGAAGATAGCCTTGGACTCAGCGAGTCTGTTCTTGGACTCGGCGAGTCTGGTCTTGAGGTCTTAGCCTTTCCTGGCTAAGCTAAGAATCGGTGAGTCAAGGGGTGAATCAGTGAGTTGAGATGGGTCCTTTTCAGTGTTGGGGGACTCGGCAAGTAGAGTCAGCCAGAAGGTTGACTTTGACCAAGAGTTGACCAGTTGACTTCCAGGGGTATTGTGGTAATTATTGGTATTTATTGAGTTCAGTCTTTTGGTATTATCAGTGGTGGAGTTCGTGTCGGAGGTTGGAGCGGCGTGATCTTATCTTTTCAGTCGACAGTTGCAAGGTGAGGTATCCTCACTATATCAACAGGGTCTAAGGCACCAAGGCCGGCCCTTTATCGGATTGTAATCCAGGTATTGTTGTTATATTGTTGTTTTACTATGTTTGCATCCTGGTAGTTAGGATGGTATTCGTTAGAGACCTGGTCAAGGTCGGTATCCTGGTATATAGGGTGATGCTATGCTAGCGACCGGTTAGGTCGGTATCCTGGTTAGGATAATGTTATGTTATGTGATCTGCTAGATCGGTTGATTGATGATTAATTGTTATATGATTATATGTTTATGTGCACATGGTTGGTTGACTGGGGTTGGGTTGAGGCGGGTCCTGCTTTGTGTTGTAGGCCAACATACCCAGGGCGGACCAGATATTTCGAAGGCCCAACGAGCGGTCCGGATAGGCTGTAGGCCCCACGAGGTCGGACCAGACGTGTCGAGGCTCAGAGAGTGGACCAGGCCGACTAAAGGCCCGATGTGGGCAGACCAGTCATACTGTAGACTCAGAGAGTGGTCCAGGTGGGTTGAAGCCCCGGTGCGGGCGGACCAACCATACTGCATACTCGAGGGACATGACTAGACTCGGAGGGTGGACCAGGTGGACTGAAGGCCCGACACGGCGGACCAGTCATACAGAAGACCCGATATGCATGGCTGTTCTATGATTCGATATGATATAACATGTTGTGTGTGGTATATGTGGTTGGTATTTTGAGGGTATCTCACTAAGCTTTTGGGCTTACAGTTGTGGTTTAATGTTTTTCAGGTTCTTCAGGAGACCGTGGCAAGGCCAAGGCGTGATCGTACCGCTCCTCGTGTTTGTGATCTATGATATGGTTCTGGGAATACTCTGATAATAAATGTATTGAAAACCTTTTTGTAATAACATGATTAAAATGGGTAGTTTTTGAAAAGTTCAATTTTGTTGAAAATTTTGGTCGTTACAAGTTGGTATAAGAGCCTTGGTTTGAGTGAATTGGATGAACATTCGTGTGAATCCAGTCTCAAATCAGGGAGAGTTTTTAAAAGAGAATTTAAAATGGTTTTCAAATTAAGTAAAAGGAGGACGCGAAGGTACGATCAGCCGGAGCCAGTAAGTAACCCGAAAATACCATGGATGATATTTGTTTTAGAGCTTTGATAGAACATCATGCTAGTACTAGGCTAGGGATCTTCAGGATTTCATGATAATATTGCCTGTTTTATAATGCCTGCTAGCCTAGGCATTCCTTCTATATGAGATTTTCAGTGTTCCTCTAGGAGTGAGGATTGAGCTCTTGTTATGTATATTTGTCACTAGGGTGATGTGGTAGTACTTCATACAAATATGGGTAGGTGTGGAAGGTAGTATGGGCCCGTACTACTGAAAGCACAGGACCCATACGCCTATCAGGGAAACCATGACCTCTAGGGTTGGGTTGGGAGTTGGTTCCCGAGTTAGTGGGAAGTATCTGAGATTTTGTGATGTTTTTCAGTATGGTGGTCACAAGGCATGCTGGGAGCGGATCTGGGAGCAGGAGAGGGAGGTCAGGGCGGGTCTATACCGCCCGAGGTTGTTGGTCAGATGAGCAAAGGCGAGTTGGATGCTAGGATACGTGAGATCCTGCATGATGAGGTAGCTGCGTTGTTCTGGGCCGAGCTGTCGGAACTGTTTGGGTCGATCAAGACCGCCATGGTGGAGTATTTTTATGAGCGTTATGCGGCTCTCGCAGAGATGGCTGTCGCGGTGGCTATAGCAGCTGTAGCAGCGGCAGGGGGAGGAGCTGGTAGAGGTTTCCAGTACTGGGACTTCGATAATACGAAGCCCCCTACCTTTGATGGAGTTCAGGACCCGATTGTTGCTATGAGATGGTTGTCAGACGTGGAAGGGTGTTTCTTCACGTGTTCATGCCGTGCTGATCAGATGGTAAGGTGTGCCCTGAACCTGTTGAGGCTTGGGGCAAAGGATTGGTGTAGATTGACCATGGGGTCATATTCGGATGCACAGAGGGTTGCAGTTTCATGGGATCAGTTCCGAGAGATGTTTAGCACTCGTTATGTTCCGCAGGTTGAGAGGGAGAGGTTGGCTCAGGAGTTCCTTGAGATGAAGTAGGATTCGGAGTCGGTGACAGAGATCACCAGGATGTTCACTGAGAGGGCGATGTTTTGCCTTGAGTTTGCTTCGGAGTAGGCTCAGATGTCCCGATATCTGAGTATGCCAAAGAGGGATATCAGA